ATGCGTGCCAAAAAATAAAAAGGAATCAAAGTCAAGAAGACGAAAGCCCAAAAGCCAAAATCCGAGAAAACCAAAAAAAAATATCAGATTAAGACACTGGAATGTGGGACGTGGCCAATATCCTTGGTCCTTTCGGTCATTGAGGTTTTTCTATCTTGTCACCAGGCCATCATCTCCATGGCTTACAGAGAGAGAAACAAAAACTATTAAAGGAAACTATAATACATCACTATGAATAAGTATGTCCTTTGATATCTTAATAATTAGCTTCCTTAATAAAATATCCTTGTATTTATTTCCTTTTTTTCTTCCATCTTTTAGATTTTTGGTTGTCCTGGATATCCTGTTTGGATAAAAAAAAAGAAATGAGTCGAGGAATGGCTGGCAACTAATTAAAGTGCCTACATATCCGCACTCCCCTCTTGTAAGAGCCCCTCTCTCATCACTCTCTTGTTGAGGAAAATTTGGAAATTTTACAAATTAATTTCATGTTTGAAGCAAATTCGTAAACAAGTCTTAATGTGCACTAAAGCGTGTGTTTCCAAGGCTGTTTTCAAGGGGGACCAAGGGGGTCTGTGGGTGGTCCATTGACTAACCACCCATCTAATAATGTTGGGCGCCCGCCAGACATGAATTTAGCATTTATCTAGCGCCACTTGAACAACGCCGACGTCGTCGTCGTCGTCGACAATGAAGATGAAGATGGCGGCGTCCCAGCATTCGATACTGTGAGGTGATGGCGGCGGCTGCTGGGTGGTGGTGCCTTGGTGGTTTCAGGCTGAGCTAATTTCAACGCCTCTTAAGCGCACAGTGGCTACCAGCCAGTCGGGGTCCTCGAGTACGCCTCAGAAGTCAAGGAGTGACTTGAGAAACAGGTTTACCTTCCAGGTGGAAGGAGGAGGCTTATAAGGAGGGTTACAAAAATTATATAATATTATATAAAGACATCTTTAGACACCTAACTCCTAACTTTAATATTAGAGATCTCTAAAAATATCTCCAAGAATTAATATTATATCCCTTTTCTAACCTTTAATTAGTTGGTATCCCACTGTGCACTTAATTTTGGCTCCATGGGCTGTCTTGTCAACAGATTCTCGTCGAGCGTGGGCAAGGGCTTCTCCTCCAGTTGCCTTCTTTCATGGCCAGTAATTGTTGTTGTTCTTGTTCGTGTGCTTTATGTAGATGTGACGAGGCAGGTTTTTGCCATTTTGCCAGGGCCATGTTCGAATTTGTTTCAATCGAGAGGAAGGACCTCCCAACTCTCAAACTCCCAAAAAATAAAACTCCCAGCGAACGAGCGACACGTACGTGGCATGAAGTCATGTCATGGGCGGGGAAGGACATGGTTAGCAATGGGAGCTGGAAGCTGGAAGCTGGGCTGGGGAGGGCTTTACTGCTTTTGGTGGCCAGTCAAGAGTGAAACAGTGCTGTTAATATAAAGTAGGTAATTGAGATGGAAGGAGGAAAGGAAAGGACTCCCCATCGGTCCCCAAGTTTCTCTTCTTCAACTTGATGAAATTAATCAAGTACAGTGGCGAGTAGTCCCTTGTTTCTTTATTTTCTTGGCGCTGAGTCAGCATTTTGGCTATAAAGTCTCCTGCGTATCCACACCAGACAATGAATGCACATAAAAATAATAATTGGAATTGGAAATGAAAATGAAAACAATTTTCATGGCACATGAGTTGGCAAGAAGAGTAACTTTTTTTTTCTTCTAGGCATTTCATAATTCCATTTCCAATTGCTGGCTAGCAGGTGGTGCTTCGAACTTTTTCACTTCAACCTTTGACCTTAGGGACTCTGGTGGTTTTGGCAATTATCGACCCGGAAGATGGCAACAATTCGGGCCGTGTCTAGCCCAAATGCCACTGGAGCCCATAATGCGCTTATCAGTGTCACCCAAACACTTTCGCTTTCCGGGCCTTTGCATATGCATGAGGTCTCCCACGCGACCCATGCTGCGTATACGCAATGTGTGACTGGGCGTATGCGTAATATTGGGTGGCCTTCGCTTCAAAAATAAAAGCTTTCTATTTCTTAAACTTATAACTATTTTTTTTAAATTTTAACTCAAGCTCTGACTTCCTGACACAACCACAAATCATTTGTGGGAGTGGTCTTTGCCCAAGACAAGGCTATCCTTTGGATCCAATGGTTATGGCTCGAAGGACCAAAAAGGGCAGATGGCAGAGGGCAACACAATACTGAAACGTAAGCAATAAAATGAATTTTTATGCCGCATTTTCGCAATGCGTCGAGTGTGAGAGACACACAGAGTGAGGGAAGGGGATGCGCAAAGGCCGTCACCTCGGCACAAAAAATATATATGTGTATGTTACCTTTGGTCCTGAGTACTGAATCCTGGGTCCTGGGTGTCCTGTGACCCCCATAACTGCCAAGAGCCAGACACCCACACCCACACCCACATGGAATGCATTCCTGCAAACCAAACACATTTACACATGTAAGTGCATAAAAAATGTTTATGAATTTCAGTTTATGGCGCGTAAAACACGCCAATAAATGTACCAAGGCATTAAAAATCCCTTTGCCACGCCCCTCTTTTTTTGTTTTTTTGGTTGTACTCGTTGGACTTTGCCGCACTAATAAACAATCAGAAATGGGCATAAAGCATGGGGAATCGGGAAAACGACTACGAAAACCAGAGGTTGGCTTGTCCCTCCATTTCCGCCATTTTTCTTTCGTTTTTTTTTTTGCCATAAGGTGTTAGTCGCCCCTTTGGCGCATTTCTTGTGGGTGGAACCTTCCCCAACCTTCTCTTGAGAAATATTTATGCAAAACACACAGCTACACACACACACACACACCCTTTGTAAGGCAGACCCTGCTGTTGCTTCTTTTCTGGAGGTTTTGTTTTTGTTTTTGTTGCCTGGTACAAGGATGTCAGTCTGTCGGTTTTTTTTTACTCCTGAATCCTTCGCATTTTCTTATTGTTGGCTGCGTTATGCCAAGTGCGCTCTAATGCACTTTACGACACTTTATGGCACTTTTTGTGGGGTGGAGGCAGGATGCTGGATGGAGCCTGGAGGGTGTAAGGACATCGAGCAAATGTAAATTATGGCAAATTGATGAGAATGTACATATGTGACTTGTCGGCTTTGGATCCGTGGTATTTTAAAAGTTAGAAACAAGAACCTAATAGGCTTCAATGGGGCTTATTAATATCTGACAAGATATCTCTTCAAAAGAAAGGCCCTACTGTAATGGTTAGCCTGGAAAATCCTGAAAAACATGGTAACTACATCACACACCCATTCAACCTTTATAGCCTTTTATCCTTTTTCTTTTTTTTGAGGGAGGAGGAGGCCTACTGCTGCACCTGACTGACCCAATTTTTGGGGGGTCTGACTACCAGCTCAGTGCTCTGAACGAAAAAAAGGAGCCTGAAACCGAAACCTCCGCCACCTCGTCACCCCTGAGGCGCCATAAAGCATGACCCAATTGAATTGTTACGCTCGTGCTAATAAAATTTTATGTGCGGCTATTATTAGGCTCTGTCTCTCTCTCTGGTGTCCTGTGGCATCCACCAAACAACAGAATAACAGGAACAAACAATGTCACTTAGGTCCTTGGGATCCAACTACTACTACTACTATTTTGTTTATTGTGGGTACTTCTTTGTTTTTTTTCGAAATTTTATTTTGATATTGTCGACTGTTGTGTGTTTTAAGGCGAAACTAATTTGTTTCCTGTATTGATTTTTACCACAAGACTATGGGATATATATATATATATATTCCCAATTTTTATTTTTTTTTGGTTGAGTATTCGCTGTAGTCGTGTTGGCGTCCAAAATTTATGCATAACTTTCGAATCCCTCTTTTTCCGTTTGAATCTTTGATATCCAAACGCTTTGATTACACGCCCCGCCACCCATTTGTCCATTTAGCCCCGGTTTTCCCTTCGATTTTCCTCCAATTTTCCACTTTATTCTCTGCATGTTTTTCGCATTTTTCGTGCTTCAGTTGTCTTAGGCGATTTCTCGTGGCGTTAAGTACTTGAAACACAAAACCAAAACCAGAAAGAAAAAAAGGACAAAACAAGAAAACCCAAAAAGGATACTTGAAAAAGAAAAGCAGGGAAAAAGTGTCGGAAAAACCAGCCAGCTTGGCCACTCGAAGGCCTCGCAACAGTAGAAGAAGGGTCGCAATTGTAGCAAGGATCACGGGCTAGAAAAGGACATTGTTCAGGACTTTCATTAACTCAAATAAATGCAAAAAAAGAAATCTATTCCATTCTATGCCATTTGTGGGTTAATTTCCACAAAGAAATGAACAGGAAATTGTTGAAATTCTCTCTGAAACGAGTTCTAATTTCAAAGTAAATGATGAACTTTAAAGGATTTCAGGATTCTGAGAGATTCTTGTTAAGGAATAGTTAAGAAACACCTCGAAGCTGTCGAGATTCATTCGCTTTTCTTGGTTCTCAAAATGAAATTAATTCCGTTTCGAGAATTCCACATCCACATCAACACTTTTCATTGTTATCTTCGGCGAATTCCAAAACAAATTGCAATACACTTGATGGGATTATCATTATTTTGGTGCTGACATTTCGCCAGCGGCCAAATTCGATTCATTTGTTGGCATTTCCAGAGGGCTAGAAGTGGGAGGGGAGACTGATGGCTCAGATGGGTGGAAAATTGTTGGGAAAATTCTGGAGAAGGAAAAAGCTCAATACATTGTCTTACAGAAGCTTCAATTGGATTTCCATGGAGGTGGTGGGTAGTTTACTACACTTGAAGAAAATAGTGAAGAAAAATAAAAGAAAATTTATACAAAAATGAATATTTAAGTTATATATATTTTAATAAATAAACTATTAAAAATTTTTAAAAATATAACAATTTTTTTTAAAGTGCCCTTTGTATTACTTAAAATCCTTCTTTTTCATTGAGGGTCCTGGACTTATTTTCTTCTTCTTCTTGTTAACTATATCTTTACAGTTACGTGTGGAGGAGTTACTTGCCAGAGCAAGCGAGATAGAGTGTGGAGCTAAGAGTAAACGAGACGGAGACAATAAGACTGAAGCTGTCAAACCTCACACAAAATGCGAGCAAGAAGAAGAAACGGCAGCTCCAACTCACACCAACAACAACAAGAGCAACAACAAGAAGAAGAGCCACAAATACAAAAACATCAAAATCAAAGGTTAATCCTTGGCCCAGGATTCTGGCTGCTAATGTTGCTAATTGTTGGCCAAGCAGTTAACGGTAAGTGCCGCAACACGGCTTAAAGTCGCAGGACGAAAATGCGTAAATGCACTTGAAAAAATTTCATAAATTTAATACGACATCTGCTTAAGACATACACTTATATTTCTCTCAGTGGAAGGACAAAGCACCTTCACACATGCAGAGAGTGTAACTTTTATTAGACTGGACACGACCAATGGCCATTGGCCCGCTCTGTGACCTCATTAGACGTTCATTTGTTTGCTTATTTATGCGAACGCACACGGGGCTCAGACACAGGACATATCAGGCTATCAGACTATCTGGCTGTAAGGTCGGGATCATCATATATATCGGGGCTATATGGCCATATGGTATTTGTGGTCTTTTGTGTTACCAATTTCGACCGCCTTTCGACCATAAAAAATGCCCAACAGAAACTGGATATGCCATGCCCCAAATAGTATGCTACACAAAAATGATATATGCGTGAAAGGATGTGCGTGTGTGCGTCTGTGCGTCTGTATTGGTATTGGCTTTCTTTTATTTGTGTGTGTGTGTGTGTTTTTGGTTGGATTTCGTGTTCGACTGCCTGTAATTAATTGACTCGCACATTTTTCGCATCAAGCACAAAAACAAGTCGAAAACTTTTTGGCCCAGACACTGTTTTTTTTTTGTTTTCTGAAATTTACGTATGTGTTTGTACTTTGTGTGTGTGTGTGTGTGTGTGCTTGTGTGTTTGTGTTTCCACTGCAGTCAAGGTCGCCGGAAAGAGATGGCCCATACTTTCCTCTCACTTTTTTTATGGTGTTTGTCGCATTTTGTGGCAGTTGGCCAACTTGGTCAACATCTCTTTGTGGCACACACAGACTAGAGTCCTCCGCGCACACACACACACACTCCCAGGCACCCCATCCAGCTTATACATCAATGTGCATTCGTAAGGGTGCCTTTCGGCCCGAGTTTACTTAATTGGCCGATTGTTTGCATGCTTAACTTTAAGTCCCACGACAATCGATAAGAGCCGCAATTGTTTTCGATTGCCATCGATTTGTTAGTGGCCTAGGTCCCATTAAATTATGCCGATTTTTCACGAAATTCTGGACTATTGGACGGGCCAGAAGGCTCTATCTCGGCCTTATATTCTCCGGTTCTCATGAGGGACAATTTAAAAGATTTGTGGACCGATTCTCCATCGATCTTTATCAAAACCTCATCACAAAATATTTTTTAGATTTTTTGTCAATTTTTCTGGGGAGCACCTTGGTAAAGTGAAGAAATCCATCGAAACCACTATGGCCCATGGCGAAGGCTATATCTCGGCCAATACCCATCAGATTCTTACGCGGAATACCTTAAACGATTTGTGGACCGATTCTCCATCGATCTGCATCAAAACCTTATCACAAAATATTTTTTAGATTTTTTGTCAATTTTTCTGGGGAGCCCCTTGGAAAAGTGGAGAAATCCCTAGAGACCGTTATATGGCCAATGGCGAAGGCTATATCTCGGCCAATACCCATCAGATTCTTAAGCGGAATACCTCAAACGATTTGTAAATCGATTCTCCATCGATCTGCATCAAAACCTCATCACAAAATATTTTTTAGATTTTTCCTCAATTTTTCTGGGGAGCCCCTTGGTAAAGTGGAGAAATCCATAGAAACCACTATGGCCCATGGCGAAGGCTATATCTCGGCCAATACCCATCAGATTCTTACGCGGAATACCTTAAACGATTTGTGGACCGATTCTCCATCGATCTGCATCAAAACCTTATCACAAAATATTTTTTAGATTTTTTGTCAATTTTTCTGGGGAGCCCCTTGGAAAAGTAGAGAAATCCCTAGAGACCGTTATATGGCCAATGGCGAAGGCTATATCTCGGCCAATACCTATCAGATTCTCAAGCAGAATACCTCAAACGATTTGTAAATCGATTCTCCATCGATCTGCATCAAAACCTCATCACAAAATATTTGTTAGATTTTTTTTCAATTTTTCTGGTGAGCGCCCTCGGGAAAGTGGAGAAATCTATAGAAACCACTATATGGCCCATGGCGAAGGCTATATCTCGGCCAATACCCTTCATATTCTTAAGCGGAATACCTTAAACGATTTGTGGACCGATTCCCCATCGATCTGCATCAAAACCTCATCACAAAATAGTTTTTAGATTTTTTGTTCATTTTTCTGGGGAGCCTCTTGGAAAAATATAGATTTCCTTAAGAAAACTTTTAGGAAAAGGTCTGCTAGCTAGTTTCTTATATTCTGTTGCCCTTAATGATATAATTGGCTCAAGTTATGTTGAAAGGATATCCATCAAGAGAATGGACAACTTCGATGGAGGCTTTTAAACTATTATTTCCTCGGAAGTATCTCAGCTGCCTCCGACAATCTCCGATGAAATGCATGTTGAACAATTGATTCTCGCCTTCTTGCACATCCTGCCACCTGCCAACAAACACTGTGAATTGTTGAAGCATTTCTCCGGTCCATCAATACAAGTCTCAGAGCTCTGCCACGCCTCCAGACCAGCCCAGTCGAGTCCAGTTAGACACTGTCCGCCCTTCCATCGCCCACGGCTATGTTGTGGGCTGCCGCAGATGCATTCTATCCAATGGAGTAATTGATTGACGTCATTGGTCAAGCATTTACTGTAGCAGTCCTGTGGCTTTTCGCCTGGCCAGGGATTGATTTAATTGTCCCAGACTGACTGAGTGACGGGCTGGGAAAGGGAAGCTTCCTCCACCTTTACCTGAAAAACATTCTATTCCACTTTTATGGCTTTCTGGTTTTAAAGGAAAAATCTTGAGTGGAAAGGCAGCTATCATCGTTGTCTATCGTAATTGTAAATTAATGCATGCCGAAAATGTCTATCCACAAAATGGCGGCAACCGGAAGTGAAGTTTCCGCTATCACCCATCGACCTACACCACACCCACTCACATACCAGATGGCAGCCATCATGACCTTTATTCGGTGATTTTGCTTGAACGACGCTGGTATTTCGTTTATTTCACTTCACTTGGCCAATAATTGAATAATTTGTGACATGAAAAATGGCGAGGCTAAATGGCGGATTATATTGGTGGAGGATAAAGGTCATGGGGGTTATCGGGTCTACGAAGCTACCATACACCCACCCACGTACCAATCAAGCGGAAATATTCCGCCGTTGACAAAATATATATAGAGAGAGAGAGAAACGATCGACAAAGAAACAAAAATACACAACGGGAATTGTGAAATATAAATGATAAGTCTAGAAATAATAATATAGATTAAATGGCCATTCAATTTGGTATAAAATTGTATTCGATTTTGTTGGATTTTGTGGCCAAAACAAATTGCCTGAAAATGGAGAAACAAAATGGGTTTAAATAGTGCCTGGATGCCTGAGTGCCGATGGGGATTGCATTTGTATATTCACCGAATATACGTTTATATATATATTTGAAATTAGAAACTGCCAACTGTTCCCAAAAGTGGCCATTAATTAAAGGCTATGGCCCGCCTGCTGTGGGGATTGTGTAATGACTGAAAAATGCTTACAAATAGCCGTTGCGAGCCAGTCTTCCATAGTGACTGAGTGAGTGAGTCACTCGCCCAGGAGGTGGTAGGATTGGATGGGTAAATAATAGTCTCACCTTTACCCTGGCCAGGGCCATGTCCTTTGCTGTCCCCCCGAGACAGGGAGAAGAGAAAACAATCAATTCACCAAATCGTATCCAATAACTAAATCCTGCTCCTGTCATTTCTCAAAACAGCAGGAGATGTACGAGAATCCTTAATAGAATAGAAATACCTTTTGCGAATACTTGCCTCTAAGGGTGTTGAATAAATTAAATCTTCAAATTAAATCTCTATTTTAAAGTTTAATGCCCCGAGGGATACTAATTATTTATTTACCCTCCATCTTAATTAGTTTCCCTAATAATATTCACATAATTCCGATTCATATTTTTGTTGAAATTTAAATCTGAATGAGTGGAGAGTGGAATAATGTTTGTTTAAAGCACTTTTCATGCTTCTGTCATGGCCCGTCGCATTTGGCCATTTGCTCCAAATGCTAGCTGACCCAATTGTGGACGCACTGCCTGCGGAAAGGGATAGATATACAGAGACAGAGATAGAGTGGGAGAGGGAGAGCTAGAGAGGAAGCCTTCTTGGAGGACATGAAATTGGCTTTGGCTTTGGTTTTGGCCTCAAATTCAACTTGTGCTTCAGCTTTCTTCAACATTAGCTAATTTGTGTGCGCTTTTTGCTTTCTTTATTTGCCTTGAATTTTTTTCAGATTTGCTTGCCCTCTTCTACTTGCATTTAATTTTTGCATCTTTTACAGGGTTTTGTGAGTTTTTTTTTGACAGAGAAAAAAATTATAAAGCTATCTGATAGAATATATTATAACTGCAACTTTCTACTCCTCATATCCCTATTAATTCCGAGCTTTTATTTCTATTTTTAAAACCCGTTCCTTAACTTCCACCTTAAGCTCTACTTGCATTCTATTTCTTCATATTTTAAAGGGTTTCGAAAGTTTTTTTTATCAAAGAGAAGAAAATAAGTAACTTAGTTTCCAAACTATATAATACCCGGCACTCTTTTACTCTGGAAGTGGCCTTTTATTCTACAAGTATCGGGTATCAGTACCGTCCCTTCCTCAACTTTACTTGTTCTCTACTTACAATTCTTGTATTTGAAAACAAGGTAGTTAGTCTTTCAAACTATATAATACCTGGTACTCTTTTTCTTTCAATAAGAAATACTTTTCTTCTACAAGTACCGGGTACTTTATACCATTTTATCCTTAATCTATATTTTATCCTTTATTTTCCTATTTTTTTTGTCAGTGCTTTAACTTTCCCTCTGCTTGTTTTGGCCATTTGGCTTAAGTGCCATCTTGAATTGTCCATGTTGCTCCTGTTCCTGCTCCTGTTTCTGTTTCTGTTCCTGATGGTGCTCTCCTCCTGCTGTCTTGACACTGATTTCAATTATAAATTTATTTTTTTTTGTCCGCTTTCTCTTCTTAACTTTCCCT